TGCTTCAGTTCTTTTCTTGTGTTTAGGTTATTTTTTCCCTAACAACTTTAATGATTATCTCTCTCTCTCTGCTGTTTTGAAGTTTCTTACCGACATGTTCAGCCATCATCTTTTTTCATTCATTATGGTAGGCATTAGATAAGTCTTTGTAATTGGGATATTTCTGTGTGGGGGTAAGTTTTTTTGTATTATTTCTTTGGTAAATTTTCACTGTCATTTTCTCTGTGTTTTTTTTTTTTTAAACTTCTATTGATCTGATATTGTACTTCCTCTATCAACTCCTCTAATTGTATGGGTTTTTTTTTTGCCTTCTGTCTTTCGTCTTTTTAGTTCAGTCTTCTAAAAAATATTTCCTAAAATTAATTATTTTAGTTCTGATATATTTAATTTTGAAAAGTTCTGTAAGTTTTTTATTATCTCTCCATTCTGTTTTCAGTTTTTTTTGTTTAATGGATTAATAACATCTCATACTTCTCTGTAAATATTAAATATGTATTAGGTATGTATTAATAATGTATATTTTCTTTTTTTAAGATTTTAGTTACTTATTTTTAGAGAGAGGGAAGGGAGGGCGAAAAAGAGGGAGAGAAACATCAATTTGTGGTTGGTTGCCTCTCACACAACATCTACTGGGGACCTGGCCTGCAACCCAGGCATGAACTCTGAATAGGAATCAAACAGGTGACCCTTTAGTTCACAGGCCAGTGCTCAGTCCACTGAGCCACACCAGTCAGAGCTATTTTCTTCTGTTCCCAATCATGTTTCTTGTCTCCAAGACCCCTATTTTATTCTTTTTTGTTGATTTTGATCCTTCTGATGTTAAAGGATGTCTTCAATTGTGTGGTGATCCTTAGCTCTTAATACATATTAAAGAATGAAATACTAAAAAGTTAATTGGAAACCCTGTGGTTTGGGATGGGGGTACGGCTGTTTTGCAGCTCCAGAGGGCACAATTTTATTTTTTAATTTTTAAAAAGATTTTATTGTTTTTAGACAAGAGGGAAAGGGAGGGAGAAAGAGAGGTAGAGAAACATTAATATGTGGTTGCCTCTCACACATTAGGGGACCAACTGGGAACCTAGCTCACAACCCAGGCATGTGCCCTGACTAGGAATCAAACCAGCGACCCTTTGGTTCGCAGGCCGGTGCTCAATCTACTGAGCCACACCAGCCAGAGCCAGAGGGCACTATTTTAGTACTATAAAAAAGTATTGATATTTACCATATTAGAAATTAAAATTGTGAAGTTTAAAAAATATTGTCACTTAAAAAATAATAAGCCCCCCATAAGTTACATAAATAACAATTTCTGAAAAATAACTATTTTCCAAAACAAACTTAAAAGAATAACATTGTATGTCTACTTAAACAGAATGTTTCTGTATTTAGTCCCTTATGATACATTGTTTTGGTTGAAATATATGAAGAATATCCAGCTTTATCCAGTGCTTTGAAAATCTTTTCATGCTCTGGCTGGTGTGGCTCAGTGGATTGAGCGCCAGCCTGCAAACCAAAAGGTCGGTAGTTCGATTCCTGGGTTGTGGGCCAGGTCCCCAGTGTGGGGGTGTGTGTGAGGCAGTCACACATTGATGTTTCTCTTCCTCTCTTCCTCCCTCCCTCTCTCTAAAAATAAATAAATAAATATCTTTAAAAAATAAAAAAAATTCTAATCTCACAAGGGTACTGGTACTTGATGTGAGGTTCCAGCAAACCTGCAGTTCACTCTTCAACTTCATGATGTTAGCCAAAAACACACTAAGTCGTCATCTGGTTTGAAACATTCAATAACAGGTCAACCAGAAACAGACACCCAATTTTCATGACAAATAATGGTAATGCTGTGTTAGCTAGTGGAGCCACTTTCTGTGTTTCTGCGTGGGTATATACAGCAACACAAATTGGAATAGAATGGAACCTGTCCCCTGTTGTCAGAGTCACCCCAAAGGAATGGAAAGATTAGTAATCATCACAGCTGGTATAACACAAATTGGAATAGAATGGAACCTGTCCCCTGTTGGCAGTCACCCCAAAAGAATGGAGAGATTAGTAATCATCACAGCTGGTATAATAATTGTCTCAAAATCAACTCACAGTTGATGCCAAGTGAAAGGACTGTGTACCCATTAAAATAGGGAATGATTGATAAAATACTTTTGAAATCTAAAAATAAAAAACAAAATAAAAAATCTTTTCAGATAATTCTGATTCCTCTCCTTTGGTATTACATCAAAAGTAGATAAGTGGAAGTTTTTTTAAAGATTGATTGCAATGTGATATCTGTCTCCATATATCTAAATTTTTTGTACTTTGTTACATTAAAATCTATTACTCTGTTTTGCACTTGGATGGAATCTTTTGTACATGGATGATTTTGGCAGGTATTGGTCATGTGGAAAATACTGGTTCCTTGACTGAGTTACTTAAATCTTCCAAGTGTTAACATGTTCCATTATATTATATCAAGTAATCACGTTCATTAAGATTATCATTAATCTTATCAGTGATAGATACAAGTTTTCCTAAAATTTAATTTTTGCTTGAATTTTATTTTTGGCAATAAGTACTGTCAGCTTTCTTTGGTGGCACAGACTCACTTTGTCAGTCTTCAAGAAAATGTCTACTAAATTGCCAAGTCTAAATACCTATAGTTTGACATTTATTTTTTAAAATTAAAATAATGTTAAATGGAAAAATGATCTGGCTAGGTTTAGCTCACAGCTCAATCACAGATGTAAGTATTGTCAGTATGCAATAACAGTGCTTTATTCATTCATCCTATTTTGTCACATAGGCTCTTAAAAAGACAAACTCAAGGATTGACATATAATAAAAATTGTATAACAATCATAAAATTACTGCTGATGTATGCTGATAAAGAATACAATAGTTATACAATTTCGATTTGGTGCCACTCCCTTGATTGGTGTTGAGATGCCAGCATAATTTACCCACCACTGTTTTTGTTTTAATTTCATGTGCCTCCTGAAGGTGTTTTAGAGGTCCCAGTTGTCTGTGAAGCAGTCTTGGAGAACTGCTGACATGAATTCATATATGTAAAGGTCATCTCCTGGATTAGTGTGCTGTACAAACTGCACAGTCTGCAAGGGAATTGTTTGGACTTGATCATAAGAAATCAGGTGCTCAGCTGACTGATTCTTTGTTGGGGAATATTCGCTCAAAATCATTATGGGAACTCTTTTATTTGGGGCTAGTAATTTTCTCCAAAAAGGAAATCTAGATTCCAGTTGGAGGTGGTAGGATGAAGAATGATTCCTCTAGCTGTGAAGTTCAGGGATCCAGGTAGGAGAGAGACTGTGGGTCGGTCCCTTTACTCAGTTTATGGTTTTGACTAATTTATTATTTGTTTTGTTTTATTTTTTTCTCAGTATCTCATGCCTGTCCTTTGCTCTTCTTAGCGTTCACAAGTTTAGACTGTCTCCAGTTCAGAGTTAACTAACCTCTAGCCTTTGTGGTAGCGTTAGGATAGGTACCTGTAGAAAAAGCATTTAGATTTCTCATTAGTCTTTGTGTTTAATTTTTACCTTTTATGTACTGAATGTTGTACTGAATTCCATCAAATATCAGATTTCTTGGGTTGCTTTGGCAAAATGTTTCTCTTATACTTCCAACTTAGATGTTTTCTTGCAAATTCCTCCACAGTATGCAGTCAGTTTCCACTCCTCTGGCCACTTTCCATTTAAAAATTTGTTGAAACCTCTTTGACAGTAAGTCTGCTTTGGTGTTTACTTGGTGTCGATGAGAGAAAATGTTTTATTTCTTTGCCCTCATTTTAGCAAGGTTTTGGGAGAGTGAAGAAATAAATGTATGGGATTAATACATTTATCAATTTCACAGGCTTGGGTCATCACTTACAATGGTTAAGAAATTCACCACTTGTGGCATTGTTTTAGGTTTTCTACTTAACCTGTACAGTTTTATTTTTTATTTGTAAAAATGGAGTTTATGATGTCTAGTATGAGAATGAAATGAGATAGTGAATGTAAAGTTCTTAACATATTCTATGTATCATGTGTACTCTGATAATTGTTATAAACTGTTATGCTAGGCAGTATGCTGGCTTACTGAGGTTTTATTGTATTCCTTCCTCCTCATGAAAGATTTGAAATAAGTAAAATATATAATTTGTTATTTAATATTACTTCCACTTATTATGACTCCAAATATGAAATGATAATTTCAGAAATGTTTTTAAGTGTCTGTACTTAATGTTTGTTTTTTTAAAAAAGTGTGAATGCCACTTGTTCAGATTTAAATTGTGTTTAACTAATTTTCTATTCAAGTGAAGTTGACTTTTAAACAACCTGGGGGTTAGGGACACTGACTCCCACACAGTTGAAAGTTTGTGTAGAACTTGACTTAATCCAAAAAAAACTGCAGTACAGTTGTCCTAGATATCTGCAGGGGGTTGGTTTTAGGACCTCACTGCCAACCCAGTGGATGCCAAAGTCCATGAATGCTCAGGTCCCTTATATAAAATGGCATAGAACATTACATACAGTTGGCCTTCCATGTCTGTGGATTCCCAACCGCAGATTGAAAATACTGTTTTTAACCCGAGGTCAGATGAATCCACAGAAGCGAAACCCAGGGATACAGAGTGCCAACTGTATATTTATTGAAGAAAATCTGCATATAAGCGGACCTGCACAGTTCAAACCCGTGTTGTTGAAGGAACTGTGATTGTAATTATGGCCCATATTTGAAACAGAGTCTAAGGAAAGCAGGTATTCTTATAACTGGATAACTCTTTTATGACCTTGATTCAGAAACTTGTGGTACAAAGAATTTCTTAAAGAATTTTTTAAATTGTACTTTTGATAATGAGAATTATTCTAGTATACTTTTGATTAAGAAACTATTTTTTTTAGTTCCTTGATGTATAAGAATGCACACTTAAATTCCTCCAGAAAGTTTAATATCATAAAAGTAGTTTAAGCTTATCCATGAATATAAAAGAAAATTATCATTAATCATTTCAGGAACTTGCAAGACCTATTATGGCGGAAGAAGAAACAGAAACATCAAATTCTGAAAGGTAAATATAAGGAAAAACTGCATCTCTTGAAACCAAATATATAAATGGCATTTGTTTTATATCATTTTAGTTAATCAGTAAAGGACTGTTTAAATGTTTGTAAATGGTATTGTTTTTAGTAGTGGCTTTTAATTTTAAAAATTTTGAAATTTTAATACAACAGGATTATATTACAGATCCTTAGTTTTTAAATACTTTTATATATGTAGAGTATAAAGTTAAAATTTTTAAAGTACATACTAGTAAGTAAAATGTTAACAGATTTTAATTGCCCTTATTGAATGAAAACAGTTAAAAGATGCTACAAGTTACAACATAAGGAAAATTATTGCAAATAGGTAATTGTAAAATCTTTATATATAAATCATTTTCAGAAAGATTTAATGGTACTTACATGGTACCCTCCCAACTTAAAAGTTTCAAAATTTAGGAATTGGTTTTTAAACACTTAATGCTCAGATAGGACACTAAAGAATACAAGACATTTCCCAAACTTTTAGTAAAATAATTCCAACATTCTAATTAGAAATTTTTTTCAGATAAAGATAATTTTATTATACCTTTTTTATGCTGTTCAATTACTTTTAAATCAATTTTTCCATTTCTCTTTTATTCTGTATATTTTACAGTAGGTTGCTTGTTAAAGCTGTTAATAAGCAATTTATGGATAAAGCCTTATGAAAGTGTTCCTTAGAATTAGCTAGAAAAATGATCTAGCCCTTTCTTCACATAGCATTTTTCCTAGAACCCTAAAAGGGAGGAGGGAAGAATTTATTAATATTCAACTCAAGAGAAAAAGCAGACTTGTCACTTCTCTGTTATTTAACATTTTCTGTAAATTGTAGTTAGTCCAATAAGAGCTGGACAAAGTAACAATTATACAAATTTAAATGAGGAAAATATAATTTTTTAAGATGATGTAATTGACCTATAAGATCCAAGAAAATGAGCTAAGAATCTTTCCTATATACAATAACATGTGATTTCAAAATATAATGGGAAAAAATGTTAATTTACAATATTAACAAAAATGAGAAATGTGCAAGATTTAAATAACAAACATTTACTGGGATAAAAAATAATATTAATAGCTTGCATGATAAGCCATTTTCCAAAATAATTTATAGGATATGGTTTGGAAACTAACAAAATTAAGATTCATATTTTTCTTTTTATTAATACCATAATTTATTTAATTATTGCCCTGTTGTTAGACCTTAGGTTGCTTCTGTATTCACTATTGAAATACTGTTTTAACGCATGTCCTTGTACAAATATCCTTTGCATTATTAAATTATTAAATTTAGGGAGAAGAGTTGTAGAATATAGGCAGTTTGCTCTATTAGATAATAAAGTACATTGTTAATCTATAATTGTTAAGACAGTCTGGAATTGGCTCAAGAATTGTCAGTCTAAAGATAGATCATAACAAAACATATAGTGAAATGGCCTTATAAATATAATTTAGGAAATAGTAAATAGTTGACACTGTTGCTCTTTGAGTTGTCAATTCATTACAAAAAAAGCCTAAATTCTGGGTAAATTAATGTAAGAAATAAGACATATGTTATCATTAAATTTATTTTTGCTAAAATAAGCATTGTTACATCTGGATAAGAGGCTGGAGATCCTTTTAGAAATCTATTTCTAATGTTTTATTATTCACTAAATAGTTTCTCTTAACACATCAGAATAAAAGTAAACACACAGACAAACTCATAAACATATGTGTACAAATGTACACAAATCTGTGTATTTTACATTTTATTTTTAGGGATAGTTTTGTATTTCCTTAAATTAGGCTATTAAAAATTAGGGAAATGTTTATGAATGCTTATCTGATTTTGTATATAGAAAGATATTGTAGCCATAAAAAGATATATAAATCATAAAAGAAAAATAGGTGTTTTCCATATACATTTATTCCTTATGTAAAGTACTCTCAGAAATTAATAAGAATGCTTAAATTTTAACTAAAATCAAGCAAGGATGTTAACACATAAAAATAATAACCAGGACTAAAATTAGTTGATAAACTCTACAGGTCTACTTTTAATATGAGATTCTGGAGTTTTTCACTCTCTTGACTAAGAAAATATCAACCTCCTAAATTGTAACCTCATGACGAGGACTGGGAACCTGGACTTTGTTTTCCTTTTTGATGGGCAAGTAAGTCCATCAAAAAATATTTAGAGCATGTCTTTATTTTGATAATGTTCAAAAACAATGTATTATATGAAGGAATAGATAATGAAAGGCTTTATTTTTTTCAGTCAACATGATAAAGCTTCTTCTTCAGAAGAAAAAAAAAGTGAATGTGATGCAAATTCATTTGAAGCCCCATCAGCAACAAAAAGTGAAGAAAGCATAATAGTTTCAGATAAAGAAAAGGATATCTGTCTTGAAGACAAGGAAACTGGCTCAAAGAATATCTTCAGTTATGATTCAAATATTGGTGAGGATAAAGTGGAAAAGGAAAAACAAATTGAGCACATTTGTCAAGAAACAGAGCTGAAAATGTGTGAAAGTTCAGAAAACATAATTTCATGTGATCAGATTAAAGATCAAAACTCCAATGAAGCCAGGTTTTCTTCAAAGAATATTAAGGATTTGCGGTTGACATCTGGTGATGTTAGCATTGATCAGTTTTTGAGAAAAAGAGATGAACCTGAATCTGTTAGTTCTGATGTTAGTGAACAAGGCAGTGTTCATCTGGAACCTTTGACTCCATCAGAGGTGCTTGAGTATGAAGCCACAGAGATTCTTCAGAAAGGTAGTGGTGATCCTTCAGTCAAGCTTGATGAAGTAGTATCTGATCAAACAGATGATGTGCCTGGGGAAAATAGCCCTAGCACATCTGAGACAACAGTAGACCTGGCAGATGAAAAAGAAAGAAGTTGAAATTAGTTGTCGTTCTCAGTTTTAGTGTACAAATGGTAAGAGCATTTGGAACACTGCTGTCAGGTGAGCTCAGTGGTGCTTTAGAAGAGTTCAGAAATAGAAAAATATGAGGGAGGTCATTCGTACACCTTCTCTGAACAACCTACGTTATTACAGAAATTAGTTCAATAATAGCATGATGGTATGGATTTTCAAGAGGTTTTAAAACATGAACAGGATTTTAATGAAAGTTTACAATAGAAAAGCTTCATTTAACAGTTCTCAAGGAAATGGAACTTGATTGCCAATATGAATTGATTATTAGAATATTAGTTACATTTATAAAGCATTGAAAATTCCATCAGTCCTAAGCTAAAAATCTATTACTTATATGTCCTTCTCAACTTAAGGGAAGAAAGTTGGAAACCACATACCTTTTGGGAATAATTGATTTAAAATAATGGCTAATTGGCATTGTTAATGAAAGCTTTATTTTGGGTATGATGCTGGTAAATGCTTCAAGTGTGAAATTAGTGAAGCTATTGAGAATTTGAATGAACATAAACTTATTTTGGATTTAATATAACATTCCAGACTATCAGAAGCATGTAAACAGAATATTTGAGTCCATGTACCTCCATACAAGTGTTAGCCTGCCAGGCTGTAAGCTTACCTTAATTAAACTTTCAGTGAAAGTGAAATTATTAAAATATAAATTTATATTTGTGTTTTTTGTCAGTGTGAGCTGTGCAGAAATCCCTTCATGAATTAGTTGTATAAAGTAGAAATCCATTGTTGAAACTTCTGTAGCTATTATGCTTTTAATATTGTTTTAATGATCTTTAGAAATAGACTCATAAAAATGGTCTGGATACCAAACCAAAGTATGATATAATATAGATACTGTAAAGCAGCAAACTGAAAACATGTCCTGGCATGAACTCAGCCATGTTTCAGTGACTTTTCCTTTAATTGTAAAATAGAGACTTCAAATGGGACCTAAAGCAGTGATGTGAAAAATTGGTTTGGGATAGTTAGTCTAATTTATCCATAAGATGGCCACTAAGTTGATTTTTAGTTGTTTTTTATCCTCTAGGAAATAAAGATCTAGAAATCAATAAGAATAACAGTAGTCTGCTTTGAAGTACTAATAAACTTTTATTTAAAATGCTACATTTTTACTTCTTAAAACGTGCTTTGAATTCTTAAATTTTGTTTCACTGAATATTAAATGTTTTAAATGTCTATTAAAATTCTGCTGTATATAGTTTTTGAGTAAATATTTGTAATAAAATTCTGTCCCTGAATAATTTTATTTTTCAGAAAACTGCTTGAATCAGATTACCTGTGGCGCCTTTAGAAACTGTATGCTTGTTCAAGGAAATTTCATGTTAAAGTTAGTGGTAGGGTTTCATTCTGTATTCTTTAATTTGATGTATGATATATTTTAAGTCAGTGAAGTATAGGGAGAAATACTGCTAATATTTACAGAGAATAGATATGTTTTCTAAACCCTTTCACTTCAAGAGAAATATAATTTAATATTATAGTTTTCTATCTGCTCAATAAATTAAAGAGGCTAAATAGGCAAAATATATTAAGTTATTTTCTTGAATATGGGGGAGGGGTGGGAAAACAAATATTTTTATCTTTCCTGCTCCCAAAAAAAGACAGGGAGAAAAGAACCTATTTGCTCTTACCCTTCACCTTGTTGAATCATAAATCTATAGAGCAGAAATGATTTTGGGAGTAATTTAAAACTTAGAAGAACAGGAAGTAAAAGAAAAAGTCTTTGTGATTCACTTTCAGAATCTCATTCAATTAGTTGCCAAGCCTATGCTACAAAATCCTAGAGCACTGTCTCAAAATAAGTCTCTCAGTGGCACTAATGCCTTTTGAGCTTTGGAGTTGTCCCTTCTCCTGCCTCTATATACCTTTATAGCAGTGCTATTCAAAGTAGCTGTTCAATGAACTGTTTATACCTATCCACTGCGAGAAAAGGAACCTGTACCAGACTATAAGTTCTTCATTGAGAAAGTTTGGTACTGAAAACAAAAAAGCAGTTGAAATAAACACTGTACTTAGTAACCTCATTGGTATTTGTTCTCACACAATACCCTTATCTCATTTCTGATTAGGAACAAACAGTTCGGGCAAGCAAACCAAACCTGTATTTAGCATTGCTTTAGAAGGATGGTCTGCAGACTTTTTCTGTTGAATCCAGGTGCTAAATTGTGGGCCCTGGTCACAATTACTGGTCTTCCTTGTAGTATGGAAGCAGCTATAGGTAGTATGTAAATAATAGCCTGTTTGTGTTTCATTAAAACTTTATTTAAAAAAAAAAACAGAATGTTGGCTGGATTTGACTTTGCTTTAGAGTGTTTATAGTCCCTTGATAAGACTGTGAAAGCCAGTGATGCACATTAGTTAGTGACTCTTTTGCCTAAGAACTAACTAATGACTACTGCCTTAGTATGTTATGGTTCCCTGTTATCTAGCAATAGGATTATGATAGATTAAAAGTGCAGTTCAGTGACATTAATTTGATTATATTGATTTGGTGGCATGTACTTTTAATTTACATTGAAAATCTAAATGCTATATTTATGTGGGTTATTTCTTCCCCTTTGCATCTCTCCAATGTTTTAGGGGGGATTTTGGAATTGTTTTACCTTCTACAAATTTTAAGAACTATTCTAAACATTTTTTAAAGGAATGGCAAGATACGAGTTACCTTGTTTTCACTATAAGTAAAAAGATAAGGAAATCACACATCTGGGCAATATTTACCTAAGGTTTCAAAGCCAAAATTTGGTCTGATTCTAAAGTTATTGTTTTCTGTCATACCTATAGTTCTCAGCATTTACATTGAAAGTTGCTTTTTAAAATAAATCTTTTATTTTTTGCAAATAGCCCTCCTATTGATCACACAATTATACTTTGTTTTATTATTTATGCAGTGATTATACATATATGGAATGGAGCACTTCTTAACCTAAAGAAAAGGAACTAGTAATATTTTTTATTACCAGGAATTAAGGGATTTTACCTCAAGAAGAGGAGTAATCATTGTGTTAATAGGAAAAACATGTAATATAAAGATTGCATAATTTAGTAATTTTAACATCATTACATTTTTGTAGCCTTCTATAATGTCATTTTTTGACTCCATGGTTGACACGATCATTTTTGTTCCATCAAAACTGTTACTCCAATGCCAATATTTCCTACTGACTTCAAAGAAATAAGACTTTTGTATTACTTATGTAGGCATTCAAAAAGGATTACAAGTGTTTCATTTTTACCAGATAACTATGACACTAAGACTTGTTCTTTTCAGCAAAGAAATGAAACACTTTTTTTTTCTTTTAAATAGGGCACATATGCAGATCCGTGTAGACAAAAGGAATAGTCAGATGGAATTTTTAAAAATTGATTTTAGAGAGAGAAGAAGGGGGAGAGAGAGAATCATCAATTTGTTCTACTTATTTATGCGTTCATTAGTTGTTTCTTCTATGTGCCCTGACTGGGTGTCAGCTTGTAACTTTGGTGTATTGGAGCAATGTTCTAACCAACTGAGTTACACAGCCAGGGTTAAATTTTTTTAAGTCATGACATTTTTTTTTATTAGACTGTTTTCTCTGTTGTTTTTCCCTCCTCCTTCTTAAAATAAACCCTTTAACATTTGTTGCAGTACTGGTTTGGTGTTAACAAACTTCTTCAGCTTTTCCTTGTCTGGGAAGCTCCTTATTTCTCCTTCAGTGTTAAATGATAGCCTTGCTGGGTAAAGTAGCCTTGGTTGTAGGTCCTTTTTATCACCTTGAATATTTCATGCCACTCCTTTCGGCCCTGGTTGGACAGATATGTGGGAGAAATGTAACTTGGATCACCTTCTTCCACCATACATGAATAAATTCAAAATGGATGAGAGATTTAAATGTTAAACCCCAAGCCATAAAGATCCTAGAAGAAAACATAGGCAGAAAATCTCAGACACTGCTCATAGCAATTTTTTATCAGACATATCTTGCCAGGCAAGGAAAACAAAAGAAAAAAAAATGGGACTACATCAAACTAAAAAGGGTTTGTACAGCAAAGGAAATCATCAACAAAATAAAAAGAATCCACAGAATGGGAGAAGATATTCGACTAACATCTGATAAGGGATTAATAGCCAGAATTTATGAAGTACTTACAAACTCACAAAAAAAAACAAACAACCCATTTAAGAAAATGAGCAAAGGGCCTAAATATACACTTCTCCAAAGAGGACATACAGATGGCCAATAGACATATGAAAAGATGCTCAACATCACTAATCTCCAGAGAAATACAAATTAAAACCACAATGAGATACCATCTCACACCTGTCAGAATGTCTGTCATCAATAAATCAACAGACAAGAAGTTAAGTGCAGGCAAGGTTGTAGAGAAAGGGGAACGCTTTTGCACAGTTGGTGGGTGGGAATGAAGATTGGGCAGCCATTGTGGAAAGCAGTATGGAGATACTGCAAGAATTTAAAAATGGATATGCCTTTTGACCCAGTGATCCTACCTCCGAGAATATAGTCAAAGGAACCCAAAACACTAATTTAGAAGAACATAAGCACCCCTATGTTCAGTGCAACATTATTTACAATTGCCAAGACATGGAAGTGTAGCCCAAGTGTCCATCAATAGATGAGTGGGTAAAACAACTATGGGTCATTTACACAATGGGACACTACTCAGCCATAAAAAAGAAAATTTTGCCCTTTGCGACAATATGGATGGACCTGAAAAACATGGTAAGTGAAGTAAGCCAGTTAGAGAAAGGCAAATACCATATGATTCACTTATATATGGAATCTAAAGAACAAACTGAGCTAACAAGGAAAATGAGATTGGGACAGAGTCCTACCTAGATGGGGAGCAGGATGACAGCTAATGGGGTGGGGGGAGTTAGAGAGTGGAGGGATTGAGTAAAAAGGGCTCAGGTACATGGACAATGTGGTGATTGCTGGGGGGAAGAGGGTATAACCAGGGGACTAAATAGTAATGGAAAAAGATACAGTAAAGATTAAAAAAGTCATGGCAATGTTTAATTTTCAACTTAAAAGCTATAAATGGACAGATGTTTCACTCAGATCACCTTGTAAGAAATTAAACACATCTGCAGCAACAATGGGAACATCCTGGGTGAAGTTAATTTTACAGTTAGGTAAAGGTAATTTTTAATTGCTTGTTAAATGTATTATAAAATCACCTTCATTTAATACACTAGACATAATTTAGTCTTCTTTGATTACATAATGTGTCATCATTATGAAGATAATTGGATTAAGCTATAAATGAAGCTGTAGCTGCAGACGTTAATAGCCTGAATAACTGCTAATCAGAGAAGTTGGATTTTGGTTTCCAGGAAATGACCTTGGTGCATCTGGGTCATATGACTTTTCCAAAAACAACAGAAAACTTGCACTACTCACCCAATTCAACCTTTTATTTTAAATTGGGGTAAAAAAAATTCATTAGTTTTAGTTGTACAATGTAATGATTTAATACTTGTATTTGTTGCAAATGACCATCACAATAAGTCTGTTTAGTATCCAACATCACACAGTTAGATAAAAAATTTTTGTGATGACAACTTGCAAGATCCCCTCTCCTAGCTACTTTAAAATATGCAATATAGTATTATCAATGATAGTTACCATATTTTACATTATGTCCTTGTGACTTACTCATTTTATAAGAGAAAATATGTACCTTTTGACCCTATTACACATTTTATTCACACCCCCACCCTCAGCCCTCACATCAGGCAACCACCAATCTCTATATCCATGAGCTCAGGATTTTTTTTTTCTTTTAGATTACACATATAAGTGAGGTTATATGGTATTTATCTTTCTCTCTGACTTAACTCGCCATAATGCCCACAAGGTCTATTCATGTTGTGATTTCACTCTTTTTAATGGGTGAATAGTATTTCAGTGTGTATTACATTTTCTTTAGCTGTACATCCATCGGTGGGCACTTAGGTTATTCTGTACCTTGGTTATTGCAAGTATGCCATACTTGCAGTGGGGGTGCATGCATCTTTTCAAGTTTTAGTGTCTTCATATTTTTTGGATAAATACCCAGAATTAGAATTGTTGGATCATATGGTAGTTCCATTTTAAGTTTTTTGAGGAACTTCCATACTGTTTTCCATAGTGGCTGCATTAATTTATATTTCTACCAATAGAGCACAAGGATTCTCTTTTCTCTACATCCTCACCAACACCTGTTATTTCTTGTCTTTTTTATAATAGTCTTTCTAACAGGT